AACAGGGAGATGTGTAAAAAGGAACAGGTCCCCGCCCGTGCGACCTTTGTGCAGGGTTCTTTGTGGGTGTGGTCGGCGACTAGCCGGGGTCGTCCTCCCGACGGGGTGGACGGTTGGTGGTCAGGAGCGCGAAAAAAATTTAGATCGAATCCCTTGTGCGACAAATCACGACTCCCACCGAGCCGCGCCGCGCTGCGCGCGCGCGCGGCTCACTCGCTACCACACCGACACCCGTGCGTGTCTCACTAGTTTTGGGATAAGGTAAGGAGGGTAGAGCGTAAGGTAAAAACTTCTCTCCCTATACCACGCGCGCACACACAAGCGACAAGGTGGTGGGGCAAGGGGCGGCTTCCCTCGCATCTCGCAACTCCACGTCTAGACGCGACAGGAGCCCCACGGCATTAAAAGTGCAAGGCCCGGTGCGCGTGTGGGTGAGCGCGCTGAGCGGTGTGTGTGTGTAAGTGTTTGTATATGGGAGTGTGTGTGTGTGTGTACATTTGGGGGGGGGGGGGGGGGGGTGCGTGTGTGTGTGTGTGTGTGTGTGTGTGTGTGTGTGTGTGTGGGTGGGTGCGTGTGTGTGTGTGTGTGTGTGGGTGCGTGCGCGCGGCGCGCCTCTGCCCGCAGGCCCGCCGCCGCCGACAGCGCGTTGAGGCAGGTGTAGTACGTCTCGTGCGGCAGCTCGCCTATTGCGTAGCGTCCGCACCTCTGCCTCAGCCATGGAGGGGCGGAGGTGTAGCCCGTCCCGTGGTGCGGCAGCTGTGTGTCGCTCCTGTGTGACCGTCATCTCCCCCGTCTCGCGTCCACCCATACCGCGCCCGTGTCTTGTCTTGTGGTTCTGTGTGTCGCTCCTGTGTGACCGTCATCTCGCGTCTTGCGTCCACCCATACCGCGTTGGTGTCCCAGCCGTTGGTCGGACTGTGTGTCGCCTTCCTATCTATCTATCTATCGGCAGCTCGCCCTCGCCCGCGAGGTGCGTGCAGCCGTACTCGCGCAGCCACGGCTGCGCCGACATCTCCCCGAACATAACGTCCGCCGACCACTTTGTGCCTAGGGTTCGGGTACCGTGGGGGGTAGGGGATGGGTTCGGTGCCGTGGGGGTAGGGGACCGACCACTCCGTGCCTAGTACGTCTCTCCGTCACGAGTCGGATTGCTTCATCCCGCCGCACACGACGCCGGCCGGCCGAGCTCGTTGGGCCGTTCGCGCCATACGCCTCCTTGAGCGTGCACAGGTCGCGCGAGCACTGCGTCGAGTTTGTCCACTCGAGCTCGGAGCCGCGCCTGGGAAGTGTCTAGGAAGTGTCTCGGAAGTGTCTCGGAAGTGTCTAGGGAGTGTCTGGGAAGTGTCTCGGACGTGTCTCGGACGTGTCTCGGACGTGTCTAGGAGGTGCGAGTCTAGGAGCGGCGCCGGTGGAAGAGGTAGCCGGACGCGGCCATCTCGTGCGGATCCCGCACAAAGTGGACGAGCCTAGTCACCACTCTTACCGATGAGCTGAGGGGGTAGCCATCTCGTGCGGTCTCCCGCGCAGGGTGGACGGAGCCGGTTGTGCGGCGAGCGTGCCAGCCGCGCCATCCACATGTCGACGTCCTCCGAATAGATTTTGATCAGAAAGTGGCACAGCGCGCCTGGGAGGTGTCTCGGACGCGTCTCGGACGTGTCTACGAAGTGTCTCGGACGTGTCTCGGACGTGTCTACGAAGTGTCCCGGACGTGTCTCGGACGTGTCTACGAAGTGTCCCGGACGTGTCTCGGACGTGTCTACGAAGTGTCTCGGACGTGTCTCGGACGTGTCTACGAAGTGTCCCGGACGTGTCTCGGACGTGTCTACGAAGTGTCCCGGACGTGTCTCGGACGTGTCTACGAAGTGTCTCGGACGTGTCTCGGACGTGTCTACGAAGTGTCCCGGACGTGTCTCGGACGTGTCTACGAAGTGTCCCGGACGTGTCTCGGACGTGTCTAGGAAGTGTCTCGGACGTGTCAGGAGGGTGGCACGGCGCACCGCCGGGCGGGGACGTCTCCACCGGCTGCTCGCGGAAGGTATACTTGTGGGTCCGCCGGCCGGACGCTGCGCAGAGGGCGTCGGCGAGCACCTTGCAGAGTGTAAGGTAAGGTAAGGTAAGGTACACTTCTCCACACACACGAGGTGGTGGGGCAAGGGGGGGCAACCCTCGCGTCTCCACGTCTGACGACAGGAGCCCCACGGCATTCAAAGTGCAAGGCCTTGCAGAGTGCGGCGGTGCCGCTCTTGCTTGCGCCGCTCTCGTGCCGCTCTTGGGGCGCGAGATGGTTGGTCTCTGGGCTGTCTCTCTGCGGTCTCTCTGCGGTCTCTCTGCTGCCTCTCTGCTGCCTCTCTGCTGTCTCTCGGCTCTCTCTCGGCGGTCTCTCTGCTGTCTCTCGGCTGCCTCTCTGCTGCCTCTCGGCTCTCTCTCGGCGGTCTCTCTGCACCTTGCCCACGGTCGTGCCGCTCTTGTGGTGCGCCACGAAGATCCACTCGCCGCGGCCGCGCCCCGCCCGCTCGGTCACCGGCACCGCCTCCTCGGTGAGCAGCTTGCCTATGGGGACATGTCTCGGACATGTCGTGGACGTGTCCTGGGGACATCTCCGCCTCCTCGGCCAGCCGCTTGCCTGTGGCGACATGTCTCGGACATGTCGTGGACGTGTCCCGGACATCTCCGCCTCCTCGGTGAGCAGCTTGCCTGTGGGGACATGTCTCGGACATGTCGTGGACGTGTCCCGGGGACATCTCCGCCTCCTCGGCCAGTCGCTTGCCTATGGCGACATGTCTCGGACATGTCGTGGACGTGTCCCGGACATCTCCGCCTCCTCGGCCAGCCGCTTGCCTGTGGCGACATGTCTCGGACATGTCGTGGACGTGTCCCGGGGACATCTCCGCCTCCTCGGCCAGCCGCTTGCCCAACTTGCGCAGCGTCTCGTTCTTGCGCAAGCAGATGCGTCCGCTCTTGTCTTGAAACCGGCGCTGCTGCCGCTCCAGCGCCGCCTTGGTGCGGGCGCGCGCGGAGAGGACGGCGTCGCGGCAGAAGCGGTGCTGCTCCTTGACGCGCTCCTTGTCGGGGAGATGCAATCTCGTGAGGAAGGTGTGGGAAGGTGTGGGAAGGTGTGGCGAGGTGTGGAGAGGTGTGACAAGATCTGGGGAGATGTGGGGAGATGTGGGGAGATCTGGGCAGGCGCCTGCGGCCGCGACACATTCCGAGCTGCTGCCAGCCCTGCGGCGGGCGAAGGGCGCGGGGCGGGCGGGGCCGTCAAGAGTGGTGGGTGCAAGGAGGTGGGCGGGTCTCTCACCCTCTCTCTCTCCTCTCCTCCTCCTCCTCCTCCCCCCCCCCCCTCAATCTGGGCTTCCCCTGCGCCTGCGGGAGCGAGCGGGCGCGGGACGGCCGCGCTCCGGTTCCGGGTGCAGAGCTCGTTGGCGGTGCGGCTGTCGAACCGCCCGCTCGGAGCAGTCGAGCAGTCGACGCGGACAATCATCACGGTCGGCTGGTGCTCCGCCAGCCGCGCGAGCACCGTGTAGACGCGGTCGGGGAGCGACTGGTGGCCCTGCTCAAACGTGACCACCGCCGGGCATTCGGACAGGGCCTGCAGCTGGCGGAAGGCGGGCAAGTCGACCCAGAACGGCGCCGTGCGGTCGGCCTGCTTGCCAATCTGGCGTCTGCCCTCCGCCGCCGGGCCGCTGCACCCGTCTCGCGGCTGTAGGCGAGGTCGTCCGAGTTCGAGCTGTACCGGAACGCTTGCCACTGCTGCGCTTGACATCCTCAAGCCCGAGACTGGACCGCTTGGTTTTCGCCCTGGGGGCGCGGGGGCGCGGGCGCGTCAGAACTGGCCGTGCGGACGCGAGGCTTTGCGGCGGGGTAAGGTGGGGAGGTCGGGCGCGGATGGGGGCGGAGAGGGTGCGGGCGGGGAGGCTTTTGTGGCGACCGGAGGGTGGCCGAAGAGCGAGCCACAGCTTGCGAGACGCGCTGCAAGCGCGTGCAGACGCCGTCGTGAGAGAAAAACATCGCCGCGGAGACCCGTGTTTACTTTACGGCCCTTTCCCTGCGAACGCGCACCCCCCCTAGCTAGGGGTCGGCTAAACAACGAAGGCGCTCTCAAAAAAACTCCGAAGGCTATTCGAGAGAGCCACAGGCGAGACGCCTGCACGCCGTCTCAAAAATGATGCACCACAGAAGTCACGGTGCGGCAGTCACTGTGCGAAAAAGGGGAAAATGACAGCGGAGCGAAAACACAAAGCACGCGCGAAGCAACAGGCGCCGACACCCCGCCCTCCTACGCTACCCCATCTTCTTGCGGCAGGCGGGTTCGGCGTGGCACGAGGCTCGCGACTCGTTGATCATGCTCAGAAGAAGCGCGTGGCCACCACCCTGCGGACTCTCTGGGTGGAGCTTGGGAGCTTCCGTGAGGACGTGCCGCCGGAGGCTCATCTACTGAGGCGTGTTGTCGCTGTTCGTTTGAGACGGGGAGCCGCGGGGAGGTTTCAGGGGGCTGGGGGGGTGGGGGTCTCGAACGGCTTGCCGCACAACGAGAACGTGGCACAAGCGGCTTGGAGTGCACACTTCTCCCCCACGAGCGACGTGCGCCAGACGCCATGAGCGCGCATTGTCGTTTGTTTGAGCGTGCATTGCGTGGCCGTGGGTGCCCGGTGCAGGTAAAAAACACCTACAACGAAGGATCTCTCAAAAAACACCTCCCTTGACTTCAGCTGGCCGAGTTTGACAACCACCTTCAGCGAGCGATGCGGCCGCTATCCGCGCTCCTCATCTTCACCTTGCTCACGTTTGCCCTTCTCGCCGCCATCTTGGCGAGCGGCATCCTGATGGGCGCGGGCAACGCGGCCGCGTGGGGCGTGGCGCCACTCTCGATGGTGTTCGTGATCGGCCTCACCTTCTTCGGCGAGCGCGCCTGCTTTGCCAGGCCGGCGTCTGAGCCATTGACCAGCGTGGCGACCAAGCCGCGGCTGCACTGGCTGGACAACGCCAAGGCCACCCTGATCACGATGGTAGTCGTGGGCCACTCGGCGATGCCCTTCATCGGCCAAGGCGCCTTCCTCTCGCTCAAGCCCGCGCCGCTGAGCTGGTACACGGCCACCGCCCTCACCGGCACCGCGCTGCTCAAGCCGCTCGTCGTGCCGCTCTTCTTCTTCATCTCGGGCTACTTCTCGGTCTCTGGCCTCGCCCGCAAGGGCCCGGGCGCCTTCCTTCGCGACTCCTTCTGGCGGCTCGGCCCGGCCTACTTCCTCTTCTGGCTCGTCGTCAACCCGCTCAACAGCCTCTTCGGCTTCGCTCTCGCCTCGCCTAGCGACGGCGCCTTCTCCTACTTCCCGGACAGCGCCGCAACGTGGTTCCTCTCGTGGTTGCTCGTCTTCCAGTCGATCTGGTCGCTCGTGGACAGGCCACTGCCGCCGATGGAGCCGCCCTCGTTCGGCAGGCTCGTCCTCCTCTCGCTGGGCGTGGCCGCCGTGCAGCTTGTCGCCTCGCTCATGTGCGCCCTCGCCGGCGCCACCCTCGGTTTTGGCTCGATGCCGATGGCCGGGCCCGGCGGCGACGGCTTCCTCAACGCGCTGGGGTTCGTCGGCGGTCTGCTCGCCAAGTGCCACGACTGGCTCGCGCGGCCACCGCCGCTGAGCCTCGTCCGCCCGGCGCGATGGTACGTGGGCGTCTGCGCCGTGTTTGTCGCGCTCTTCTTCTTCCTAACGCTCGCGCCCGGCGCACCCGGCAACGGCTTCGCCGGCTCGGGCGGCTTCACGCCATGCTTCTTCGCGCTGCAGCTCCCGCTCGGCCCCTACTGCGCGTGCGTGCTCGTGCTCGCGCTCGACGTCTTCCAGCGGCGCGCCAACTTTGAGACGCGCCTCACCAAGTTTCTTGCGGGCGGCGCCTTCGGCGTCTACCTGCTGCAGTATTGGGCCGTCACGGGCTTCACGTACGTTTACGTCCTGCTGCTCGAGCAGGCCTCCGACGCCGACATCGTCTTCGTCAACTCGACGACGAGCAGCTCACCCGTGAGCGACGGCGAGCTCTTTGGTGGCTTCTTCTTCGTGGCCGCGTGCAGCGTGATCGCCAGCTTTCTGGTGGGCGGCGCGCTCAAGTTGGTCCCCGGGCTGAGCCGGGTGCTCTGAGCTCCGTGGGCCCCGACACCTGCAGTCGCGTCAGGATGTTAGCTGTGGCCTGTGGGAAGCTTTGGCCCCAACGTACCCGACGAAGCTCCCTCGCACGACACGGAGAAAGAATTTAACGCCCGCAGAATTCTTCGCTAGTGGTGGCGGCGTGCCGTCCTCCCATCCCTGCCTTTGGGCCTTTGTTTATTGCGTTGTTTCTTTCTTTGTGTACCTGTCTGGTACCTGTGTTAGTGCCAGTGCGCGCCAGTCCCGTGCCCAGTGTTGTGCGAGGGAGTTTGGTTTTAAAATTCTTTCTTTACTCGTCATGTCATGTCGGGGAGGACAAGACAGATCCAACAGCCTCTCGCGGAACGGGAGCTCGTCCGGCAGCTTGCGATCAATCATCCGGCAGCGCTCGCCCTTCCGCCACCCCCCACCACGCCGACCCCTTCAACTGCACCACCGCCCCGAGCTCCGCCGCCACCAGCCGCCTCGCGTCCGCGGGAGGGATGGCAGGCACGATACCGAATCTCGGCAACCCCGACCGCTCACTCCCCCATCCCATTCCACGCAACACCGCAGATCCGCTGAAGACCGTAAAAAATAACAAATCCTTGGCGACAAAAGCGGGCGAGGGAGCAGACAGGTGGACGCACGGACAGACCCGACCCAAGAGCTTGTGTGTGCTTTGCGACGCAGTGTGGCGGCGAGATCGACAACGACACCATCTCGAGCACACGCGCGAGTCCGCGACAGCCGACACGGAACACGCTCTCTCGCCTCTCTCTTACCCATACGCACGGTACAGTACACGAGCGAGCCTTTCCGAAACGCAGGCGAGGCTCGAGAGGCAACTAGTCTCCCCCTCTCAAGGGAGCCCGTGGCATGGGCACTAAGTCGCCCTCAAACTCCTCTCGCGGAGCGAAGAGTGGGACGCTCTATCTCGATCGCACTAGTACGAGTAGTCATCGCCGTCATCGTCGTCTCGATCGTAGTCGTCTCCGTCGTCGTCTCGATCGCGCCGACCGTGCCGGTGGCGGTCGTCGTAAAGGCCGTGGCGGTAGACATCGTACCGACCGTGGTGGCGGTCTCGTACGAGGGCGGCGGGGAGGGCGAGGGCGGGGCGGCGGAGGGGGCAAGGGTGAGGGCAGTGCGACCCCGGGTGTGCCATACGCCTCGCAGTCGTCCGGCGTGTTGTAGCAGCCACGCGCTGGGAAGGACACGCGCGTCATGAATGCGTTATACGGGCAAGCGTGTCGGCCGCTTGCGCTTTTTGCTGGCGCACCGGCCGCGCTCGCTATCACACTTGTAGCAGCGGTAGTGGCCGGTCACCGACATCCAGTTGCTTTGTGCCGCGATTTCGCACTTGGAGCACTTTGAGTGCAGTCGGCAGCCTCACATCCAGCATTCTAGGGCCCCGGGGGGAGCTAAGTCCTAAGAAGCGGGGTGATGCTCTGATAAACCCTCCGGATCTTCGACAAAGGTCGGATATTTCTTTTTTCAAAGTGCAAGGTGTGAATAAGAGGTTTATGATAGGGCTACTACGACGAACTATGCGGCAATCGACTGGGCGCCTGGCGCCCGACCACCCCCGCGCAAAGACCTCGTAGTAGCCCTCCCCGTAACCGACTTGGCCGGAGACGTGTCCTTCCAGGCCGCTGTCGCCGCGCAGAGATCGGCGCGAGCAGTCGCTCGAGGTGCTCTACTGGCTGGCGGTGCTCAAGGGGAAGGCGCACACGCTGGCCGAGGACACGGTCGTCAACACACCGACACCATCCCCGCGGGCTATCTCGTGGTCAAGGCGCAGTGGCTTCAGGCTCGCGCAACGCGAGTGCGAGGGCAAGCTTCGCTCCTACACGCTGCTCGAGGCCGAGACGCTCATCATCGTGAATCACATGGTGCGGCTGGCGGGCTTGCGCTTCTCGCCCGGGCGGCCCTGCGGACCGCCAGCTGAGGAGCGCGCGCGAGAAGCTCTATATTGGCCTACAGACGCATTACCATAGTCTGAGGGTTAGGTTTCTGGAGCCTCGGGTGCTTTTACGCTTTTGATCGGGTCAGGGGAGAGTGCGACTTTTACCACTTTGGTCGTCTCGGAGCGCCCAACTTTTAGCATTTTTCAAGTTTTTCTTCGGCGCTGCGCGCCGGGTGCAGTAAGTACTAGCTATCCGTCCCGCAAACGCCGCAAACGGCAGAAGTAGTTCCTGCACACTATGCCTAGAAAAATGCCGCTCGCCTCGAAAGCGCCCGCCGGTGTGTGTCCAAACACATGCACATGCACATTGATAAGGGCGCTGCTGAGCACGAGGCTGAGGCGCTGAGCCGCTGAGCCCGGGGCTCTTTGCGGCGGCGGCGATGCGAAAGGTAAAAGGATCTGGTGGCGATGAAGGTGGTGGAGCTGAAGGAGGAGCTGGGCGAGCGTGGCGAGGCCCTCTCGGGCAACAAGGCGTGGCTGCGCCGCCGGCTGCACGCCGCTATAGCGAGCGAGGATTTGGAGACCGCGCTGCGGGCGCCGCCGGAGAGCAGAATGTCCAAAATTTTCGCGCGCGCCTGCGGCGCGCGACTTTTACCATTTTGCCCCGGGCGGGCCCACTTTTGTCGTTTTGCCCCAAATCTACGCCCGGGCGTGCTTTTAGCGTTTTGACCCAAATCGGCCGAACTTTTAGGATACCCTCAGACTATGCGCATTACTCGCTCGAGGAGGGCGTGCTGCAGTGAAGACTTATTTTGGAGGCGTCGATTTGTGCAAAAATGTGTGTTAGAGTGCGCTAGATGGCAAAATTTTCTTCGCCTCCGGCGGGGCCGCTCGCCGCGGGGCTAGAGAGTGACTTTTGTCGATGTCGGCTAGAAGTGCTGCACGTTTTTCAGAATTTCACCCAGCGCGCACCCAGCGCCGAGCCAGCAGATGATCGGGATCGGGTTACGGGCTAGAGAGCCCTAGCCCTGGGGGGTGCGCGTTCGCAGGGAAAGGGCCTTTCACGCGTTTTTGTTCTTCTTTTTGTCGTCTACTTAAACTTACTCTACTATACCCGCACGCCGCAGCGCCGACCCTACCTCGGCCCTCGTTCCTCGCACGCGACCACCGCCGTGTTCCGGGGCGAAAGCAGCGGGTCAAAGAGCGGGACCAGCTCAACGCAAAGGGCGTGTCCCCCTTCCTCTCCGCCGTCGGCCGCCGCACCGCACCCTCCGCCCGCCTCCGCGCTGCTGTCGCCCGCCTCTACGCTGCTGTCGCCCGCGCCGCTGCAGCCGCCGCCCGCCCACCCGTCGCTCTCGACGAGGAAAAGCGCCCTACGGAGCGGCAAAAGGGCCGCAAACAGGTGAGGGGGCAGGCGCGAGCGGCCCACCGCGGTCACGACCCCCCACTGCGCGCCTGTCGAGGAGGATCAGCCGCTCGATCGGCCGCGCGAGCACGCCTAGGAAACCTCCGAGAACGTTTCACGGAGAGTTCGTGGCGGGTACCGTCAGCGGCCGCGCTTGATCTTGGGGGCGATCTCAGGGGGGTGCTCTCAAGGTATGCTCTCAAGGGGTGCGCTCGGGGTGCACTCGGGTGGGTCTCGGGTGTGGTCTCGGGGCTCGAGCGCGCCGCGCAGCATCAGGTAGGCAAACAGGGGCCGCTCCAAATGCGAGTGCTCCTCCTCGACGGCGCGCATCCGCTCCGCCTGTTCACAGCTGCAGCTGTGAAGAGACGCCGTACACAGTATCCTCGACGGCGCGCATCCGCTCCGCCTGTTCGCAGTCTCAAGTGTGAACAGCGCCTCTCCACACCTCAGCCTCGACGGCGTGCATCCGCCCCACCTCGCCCTCCGAGTACTCGATCCCGAGCCGCGCCGCCGCCGCCGCAGCGTACTCGCCAAAGCGGCCGCACCGCGCGAGCGCGCCGACGTTGCCCTCGCGCGGCAGCCTGCCGTCGCTCCGCGCGGCGGCGGCGCCGTGCCGCTGCCGCAGCCGCACCTACGGTGAGGGACGGGCGGACCACACTGAGCTCGCGAGGGCGTGGGCGGAGGTCGAGCGCCTCCGGGAGGCGCTCGAGATGTCTCGGGACAGGGAGCGAGTGCAAGCCCACGGGGCCCGCTTCTACGACTCCAACCCTCAGGGCCAAAATGCCCAAGGCGACTGAGACGACAACTGAGACCAAGACCGAGACCACCACCACCTCGGCGGCGGCGGAGGTGCTCTTCTCCAGCGCGGGTGGGACGCGAGGGTCGGGACGCGCGCCCCGCGGCATTGCACGTGCGAAGCCCGATGTGCGTGGAAGAGGCGTGCGTGCGTGCGTGTGCGTGTGCGTGTGCGTGCGTGTGCGTGTGCGTGTGCGTGTGCGTGCGTGCGCGTGCGTGTGCGTGCGTGTGCGTGCGTGCGCGCGCGTGCGTGCGTGTGCGTGCGTGCGTGTGCGTGCGCAGCCGCACCTCGAGCAGCGCCCGGTGGAAGTGGTGCCGGCTCCGCGCAACCATCTCCGCGGCGGTCGCGTGCGGCTCCACCCACGCGTGCACATTCTGCAGGGCGAGCTTGCGCGCTGCCTCACCGAGCGGCGCGCCTAAGAAGGGGGAGGGGGAGGGGGAGGGGGAGGGGGGGGGGGGAGGGGTGGCGCAGCTCAGCGGTTAGGGCGGAGCCCGCGGCAACTACCCGATGACACTTCCTAGACACTTCCTAGACACCTCTCCTAGACACTTCCTAGACACTTCCTAGCGGTTAGGGGTGGAGCACGCGGCAACGCGCGGGCGAACGCGCCGAGGGCCGCCACGGCCGCGCTCATCGGATAATTCGGCACCTACCGCCCACAATGCGTGTGGAAGAGGCGCCGTTCACGGCCTCGCGGAGGCTCGTCGGACGGCTTTGGGGCGCCTCGGACCGCCGCCACCGCCGGCTATCCTCCATGAAGCGCGGCTCCGCTTCGGTCACCGCGTGGTAGCAGCAGCCGACGGAAATGACGCCGACACACTCTGGGCCGCCGCCGCTGTCGCCGCCACCGCCGCTGTCGCCGCCCGCGCACCCGCCGTCGCCACTGTCGCCACCACCGCCGCCGCTGCCGCCGTCGTCGCAAGGCAAGCAAGGCGAACACATCGCTGCGGCGGGCAGCGCCGCCGAGCGCGCCGCCTCGCTCCGCGTCGCAAAGAGGCGGAGCAGCGTGGGCGAGAGATCGCCTGGAGCGGCGCGGCGCGAGAAGGAGTGAGCTCGACGTACAGATAGGCAGCGCCAACCTCGGCTGCTCTCGGTGTGCTCTCGGTGTGCTCTCGGTGTGCTCTCGGTGTGCTCTCGGGCTGCTCTCGGGCTCCTCTCGGGCTCCTCTCGGGCTCCTCTCGGGCTCCTCTCGGGCTCCTCTCGGGCTCCTCTCGGGCTCCTCTCGGGCTCCTCTCGGCACCGCATGCGTGCAGCCCGACGAGCAGGTAGCCGGCATGGGCCTCAAGCCCCACCGCCGCCGCCCAAGGCGCGAGGGTGCGGCTGAGCCACTCCGCCGTCGCGTCCGGCGCAAGCATCGCCTTGCGCGAGCAGAAGCTGCCGCCGCCGTGGAAGACGGGCGCGTCGACGCCCTCGGCGGCGCCGGCCTCGCCGCCGCCGCCGCCTCCGCTGCCGCCGCCTCCGCTGCCGCCGCCTCCGCTGCCGCCGCCGCCGCCTCCGCTGCCGCCGCCGCCGCCTCCGCTGCCGCCGCCGCCGTCTCCGCTGCCGCCGCCTCCGCTGCCGCCCTCGCCGCCGCCGCTGCCTCCACTGCCGCCGCCCTTGCCGCTGCTCCCATCGCCACCCTTGCCGCCGCCGCCGCCACCGCCACCGCCACCGCCGCCCTCCCTCGCGCCGCCGCTCACTTTGGCCTCCTCCTGCCTCATCCGCGCGCGGATCTCGAGCGCGCGGCGGCGCGCGGCGGCCACATTCGCCGGCAGCATCTCGAGCCCGACGACGTGCAGCGAGTGGTGGAAGGCGAGCACCGCGCCTAGGAAGTGTCTAGGAAGTGTCTAGGGAGGCGAGCACTGCGCCTGCGGCGGAGGCGGCGAGGGCGGCGGAGGCGGTGGCGAGGGCGGCGGAGGCGGTGGCGAAAGCGGCGGCAGGACAACAAGCGGAGGTGGAGGGCATCGAGGTGTGGAGGTGGCAGAGGTGGTTGCCGTCAGCCGAGCCCCGAGACTGGGAATCGTCTAGGACGTGGTCTGGGAAGCGCCACCGAGGTAGCCGAGCCCGGAGCCGAGGTCGACGACGGCGGTGGCGCCGCACCGCCGCGCCGTCTGCGCCACGAGCGGCGCGAGCGCAGCCACTTCGTGCGCCTTCTTCAGGTTCATGTTGCGGACCCGCGGCGTCTGCGCAAAGAGCCACCGGCTGGGCGGGTCGGCCTCCGCCTCGCGCGGCAGCGGCGACGAGAGCGCGCAGCTGCGCCGCGAGATGCGGACCAATCGTTGCAACGTTGCAGGCCAGTCGTCGCGGACCGGCAGGTCGACGGGAAGCCGAGCGAGCTCTGCGTCGGTGAGCGCGAGCAGCGCCTCGCGCCAGGCGGCCGGCAGCGAGCTCCACGGGTCGTCGAGGCAGAAGGAGACGAGGTGGCCGCGAGCGAGGGAACCGTGCTCGCGCAGCAGCTCGCCGATGGAGGTGGCCTCGGTTTGCAGCGTCGCGTGTGGAGAGGCGGCGCTCGAGCTCGCTTCCACCGTCATCTTCGCGTGCCGGCTTCGGCTCGCGCTTTCTTTTCCGCGTGAGAGTTTTTGTTGAATTCTTTTCCGCGTGAGCCGGTGTGTCAGCCAGTCCGCGCCAGTCCGCGCCCTTGTCGTGCCAGTGTGCGGTGAAAAAAATTCTTTTCCGCGCTGGCGGAGCGCCTTCGTTCCCTCTGGCAACGCCTTCGCGCCAAACACACCGTGACGTGGAGGCATGTGGCGGGTCACAGCGGCAACAAATGGAACGACTACGTCGACGAGCTAGCTGCTCGCGGCAGGCAGGGTGACAGAGGCTCAAACGCTGCCGAGTGGGCGGACGGCACCATCCCGACGAACACTCCCGACGAGGAAAGCAGCGCGGAGGGGGGCGACAGCAGTACCATTGGGCACGGGGCAACAGGCGGCGGCCAGGACTCGGAGAGGGAAGATGATAGCGACGCCGACTGTGGACCTGCTACACCAACGGCTACAGCCCCAGCCAACCCCGTCAGCCTCCCCTCGCCCGCCACCGACCCTGAAGCCGCACCCGTCGCTAACCCTCGCCGTGCCCCCCGAGTTCGAGCGATATGGTCCGAGTACGTGCCGAGCGAGCAGGCGAGGGAGATCGGAGACGATCGGGGAGCACGATGCGTAATTGCCCTCGATGTTGACCCTCCCCCACCACAATTCTCCCCGGACGACGCCGCTCTCGCACCTGCATGGTCTCTCTCTCGATACACAACACGCTCGCCGACTTGGCAACAAGGGTTGACTCCCTCGCGCTAGGCGACGAACCTGCCCCCGCCCCTCGGGGCGGGGGTCCCCGCCCCCCCGGGGGGCCCTTTGGGCCCCCTCCAGGGGGCGACCCCTCCGGGGAGGCCGGCTTTCCCCGTGCCGGTTCTCCCCAACCAACCCCGCCGGCAGCGCGAGCTGCCGGCCACATTGAGCGGTTCGTCCGCGTCGCGCACTCGTCCCAACCGGGGGCCGCAGACTCGTTCTGCGCGCCAACGGCTGGTGACGCTGTGTTGCCCTTGAGCTAGTCCTTCCCCGGTCGCCTAGCCTCTGCGCTGTCTGGCGAACGCCTGTATGCCATGCGCGCGGACCACGCTTGCGTGGATACGTGGCTGGCAGGCTGACCCGTGTGCGGGGTAACCCGCGCACGGGGAAGCTTCACGGGTTCGAGTCGCCAAACATTAAGCAGCGGAGGTGTGCCGAGGGGGACCGGGAGGCGGTAAGCCGTCGTCGCCTGGCGCTGCTTGCAGCACCGTGGCGATGGCGCTAAGAGGTTCCTCTTTTCCGCGCCCCCCCCGCAAGGCGCGCGACACACACGCCCTTGTCGTGCCGGGCCAGGCGAGTAGAGGCACACGCACGCACTCTCGAGGTCTCTTGGAGCAGAGCCCCGGCGAGACCTCGAAAGAGCAACCCAATGGGTCCCTCGAGAGGATGAGTTTGCTGCGGTCAATGCCGACTTTGCGTCAGCCCCGGAAGTGCCACCCGAGGGCCCAGGCGGCCGAGGAGGCCGACTCCGCCGAATCCAGGACGCCAGCCAAGCCGGCAGACGAAAGTCTGCAACCCGCCCCCCCCACAAACCGCACACACACACGCCTACGAGCCCCGACAGAGGTGACCACCCACCCCCAGGCAAGTAGCGCACTTGTCTAGCTCGGAGAGAGCAGGGGTATGGGGCGGGAGCTAGGGGACAGCACAATGCCGACTTCACATGGAAGGCGATCCGACACTCCAAGGCGAACTCCCCCTCCTTCACTTCCAGGCCCCGGCCTTCCATTGTCTTAGGACTCCTAACACGCATGCGTGGGATTCTAGCGTGGGATGCCCAAGGGGTACGGGGGAGGGGGGTGGCTCGTCGGGTCGGGTCCCGGGGACACGACCGAGCACAACTACCTTCTGTGGTGTAAGACAGCGACAGGGACTGCGGCATCGCCCGTGGACTCCCAACTGCCGGAAGCCCAGAGGAGCGCACCGGCGGGAGATGTCACTTACCGGGCTTGACGGCCCGCCGGAGACCCACTTTCACGGGGCGACGGACTACTACGGCAACGTGGGTTCTGCAGACCACGTTGGGATCTACACTGCGGGGGCGCACGCTCCTGTGGGCCCGGCATCGGGGGTGGGCCCGGCGCGGACTACGCCCTTCGACACGAGCTGGGAGTCCCCGACGCGCAATGGCACTCGGTGTCGTTTGCAGGCGGCGGCACGCACGGTGCACCCGACGGAGGCACCCTCGAGCAAGAGCGGCTGTGGCCGCAGAGCCAGGCGCTCCTAACTCCGCTCGCCTTGGGCGACGGTGTCTGGACGGACGCCGCAGTCGGCGGCCGTGCTCTCAACACGCCAAAGCCCCCGGCAGTGGCCGGGTTGCACAGGCACGAACCACGGCGCGGCTCGGCGAGCCTTCCGCAGCGGACTGCGGGGGGCAAGGCAGACGCGGGAGATCGCTATGAAGACAACTACATCGACATCGATGGCGCGGCCCACGCGCCCGAAGGGCAGGCGAGCCGCGCCGAGCTCGGGCGGTCGCATCAAGCCGAGCTCGACGTACTGCGAGGGACGGTCGAGCTCCTCCGCAAGGAGCTCGAGGCAGTCAGCCGAGGAGATCAAGCCAGGACCCAGGGCCCAAGCCCCTGTGAGTCCAACCTGGAAGCTCGCGCTGGGGAATGGAACGCTACCACCGCAGCACCGAATCAACCTGCCTGCTCGTGCTCGTGGCGCATCACCTTGCCACCAAGTCCCGAAGCGCCGTTGCCAGAGAGGGCGGCGCCATCGACCTGGCGAGCATCCTGACCTCGGAGGCGCCGGATCCCCCGGCGTGCGGTCTCGAGACGCAGCCTGGCGGGAAGGGGGAAGGCACGGCCTGGCGCGGCCCACGCGCCCGAAGGGCAGGCGAGCCGCGCCGAGCTCGGGCGGTCGCATCAAGCCGAGCTCGACGTACTGCGAGGGACGGTCGAGCTCCTCCGCAAGGAGCTCGAGGCAGTCAGCCGAGGAGATCAAGCCAGGACCCAGGGCCCAAGCCCCTGTGAGTCCAACCTCAACCAAGCGGGGCAACCGCCAGGGCCAACCACCTTCACCACCTCGGCGGCGGGGGCGCGCGGGCAGCCCGCGCGCCCCCCCGGGGACGATGGGGCCCCCGCCGCAAACCCCGTGCACCACCCTCCCAGCGGGCGAGCCAACCGGCCCCGCGCGGCCGAGCAATCAGCGCCTCACCCAAGCGCGGCCGCGTACATCGCCGGTAGGAAGACCGGCGGGCCGCTCCACGGCGCGGCGGCCCCGGTGGCGGCGGTCGGCCCCAGGCCGACCCCGCCGCGCGCCTTCCGCAACCCTCGGGCTCCAATGCCATCCATACGGAAACCCGCCCCGCGACAGAAGCACGAAGGGCACCCCTAGTCTAACGGGATTTTTTCATCAGATTGATCAAGCTATCTCGTTCTATCTCGTGCGATCTCGCCTATTCGCGTGCCGTTTTTTCTTTGAGAGCGCCTTCGTTGTTAATAATACAAACCCAATGGTCCCTTGCGAGCGGTCCCTTGTCGCAGTCACACACACGCACACGCGTGAGGAGAGGCGGTGCTCGCTTCGACCGTCAGCTTCTCGTGGCGCTCACGGCGTAGCCAGCGCTTTCTTTTCCGCGCCCTTGTGCTGTTTGCTGTGAGAGAGGCTTGTATTTTAAGAATTCTTTTTGGGCTGCCTTGCTTCGATGTTGAACCAGGTTAAGTAGATGCGCCACGGACCACGCTGCGGCCCTGCATAGACCATGTGGGACGTCGAGTATCGACCTCTACTGCTTACCCAGCCTTCGAGTGTACCCTGGCTGGTACCAACCACACCAGGAGTAAACTGTCATTTTATCCGTGACTGTCTGTGCTTGCTTGTGCGTCTTGGGTCCGGGGTTGTGTTTTTGTGTGAACAGCTCAGGCTCCCTCCCTGTACTTGCGAGCCGTGCAGCAGCCTGTGTCTGTCCCCTCTGGCACGCGGCGACCAGGCGACCGGCGCCCACTCAAGGACCATCCCTAGCAACCGCCGCGTTGAGGGCGTTGTCGACTTGCAGCATGAGCACCGCGACGAGGATCATCGAGAGCAGCACCACGTGCTGCTGCGCGACGGGCGTGATCGCCTCTGTGATGCGGTTAAGAGCGTCCTCCTCGTTGCTGTTCCACAGGATCTTCCGCAGCCCATCGTTCTCACGGTATCGAGCGAGGTATGGCAGTACCTACATAGTCGGGCTTGAGTGCAGGAATCGGACGCTCGGATTGCGCGAGGCGGTATCTTCCGAACCTTCTCGGCCGCGGGCTCAAACACCGCGTACAGAGTGCCTCCGACAGCGGTCATGAGCAGCACAACAAGCGACAGGAGCGTCCGACGCTGGGCGTAGTTGTGGATGATTCCGAAAACCACAATGACGACGCAGGCAGGGATGATCAGCCTTGAGGTCAGTGGGTGGGAGTGAGCGCATATGAGAGAGTGAATGGACGGCCCAGTGAAAATTGATTGACTCACCTAGCGATGGCGTGAGGCATGCTGTGCGTGTAGTGGACGTGTGCGTCGGCAAAGTGCTGCGCAGAGGCTGTCCCAGCCACAATTGGCCCGTCGAAGACGAAATCCATCGAGAGCAGCCCCGCGAGGTAAACAAGTGCGAAGATATGAACGTTGGCCAGCAGCGATGACGCGCTTGCCATACTTGATCTCTCGGGTATTGCTTTCTCGGGGAGTGGTCGGCTTCTAGTTGCAGGTTTGTTGTCGGCAAAGCAAGACAGAAGCTTGGCTTGGCCTTGGGGACGGCAGAAAAAAGAAAAGACCCTCAGGCGTTGTTGAGCCAGGCTCAACATAACCGGGCTTTCAATCCCGCACTGTCACTCCCCTTTCTCCCGGCGGAGGCCAGCCATGGGGACGGCGGAAAAAAGAAAAAGGAAGCGCACTGCACTCCAAGTGCTCCAAGTGCGCGGCGCCTCGTCACGCTGCACCGACAGTCGCTGCAGCGCAAACGGCATCCATTCGCGCGCCGACTGCGACGT